TTAGCGTACTAATTATTATCTCGTACATTTAGCTCAGCACATTGGTGTTCGATACTATTTAAGATAAAAATAGCTCTGCTCACAAATAGTAAAACATAAATAGCGGTCCGATTCGAGGACACAAACGCTAACGCTATTCATATTCTTAAAATAATTAATTAATTAAACACAATAATACAATACTGTAAACAACTAGTGGCTGCTTACAATGTCTCTTATGATGGAACTTTTTGATTTTATTTTATTTTTAATTTTAACTAAATTTGTATATGCATGTATAGTTTGCAGCCAATATATAAGTTGTCTATCTAACTAGAAAATACATCATCTTAATTAATTTTTAATAAATATAGAACACTCATTATGTAAACCATTATTAAATCATATTTTATGATACATTATCGCGATAGAGGATTTCGTTATAGACGCCGGGTTATGATAATACGATATCTTCTTGTCAATTATTTCAGCATATACAAAGTATTTGAAGTTATAGTAATTGCAAAAAAATAGTCAATGGAGCGTTTTGGGTCTGAATTTTTTTACTGTGCTCCAATTTGCATGAAATTTTGGAATTAGGTTTATCTTACCCTCAAGCTCAAAAGTATCTTATGGCTAAATAATGATTTTATTGCAAGGTAAATGTATTAAAAAATACCTTTTGATTTAATCCTTTGATATTAAAAACGTTTTCTAGCTATAAAATGGCTCAATGTGCACTTATTCATTAAGGGGTCGCAGCCCCGCCGGGGCGTGGTGGCGGAGTCCAAATTGTTTTCACTTCTAACTCGAGGGTAAGATGAACCTAATTCCAAAATTTCATACAAATCGGAGCACAGTAAAAAAAAATCAGGGGTTATGCCCTTTTCTCCTCTCCGTTTACTGCACTAATATCTTTTCACTTTAAAGGTTTCTGCACATCTTGGCATACATTTATTTCAAACAAAGGATACAGTTTTTTGTCTACGATTTCGAGAGCACGGTTCAACCGATTTAAATGATTTAAAAAATATTTGAATCCTATTGACTGAGAGACTTGGTTTTTGGCAAAGGCAGGCGTTTCGAAAATACAGGACAAAAGGTGCAAAAATAGCCATTCCGTTTTTGAGAAAACGGAGTCTGATTTGAATAATTCAAAAAAACATTTTACTTGTGTTCACGAAATGAGCTTAATTACATTTTTGGGAAGGCGGGTCCAGCAGTTTCGGAGATCCAATAAAAAGGTTAAAAAACTAGGCGTGTGCATGGCATCGTGCCTTAGGGCAAATTGCTGAAACTTCGTACAGTAATTAAAAATCTCGGTACGGAACCCAAAAAATTTTACACAAAATGTGTACACATTATTAAAATCTCTATAAAATATCTGATTATTTGATGTACATATGTCCAATAAATATTTTTGACCAAAATATGCCTTTCCAAAAATTTAATCAGTACTTCATCTTGTAAATACAAGTAAAATGTTTTTTGAATTATTAAAATCGAATGCTCCGTTCTCTTAAAAACTGAGTTAGCGTTTTTGACACTTTTTGCTCCGTATCTTCAAAAAGGCTAGTCCTGCCTTCGCCAAAAACTAATCAGCACGTTTTCTTCCCAATACGAATCGGATGTTTTTTTGAATTATTCAAATCGGTTGATCGGTGTTCCCGAAATCGTCGACAAAAATTTGTATCCGCATACATACATGCACACACACATGCACACACTCATGCGCACACACACACACACGCACGCACATACATCCATTTTTCTAAGGTATGCCAAAATGTTCAGAAACCACTGAAACGTAAAGATATAATTAATAATTAAGTAATAATTATTTATTAATAATTTATTAAGTAATAATTTTCATTTTCGATTTTTTGCGATTACTATAACTTACCCTACGGAAAGTTAATTAGATATTTTATACAGAAATATCAGATATTTTGTATAAACTTCATTTACGATACGGGAAGTTGCAGCAATTTGCCTTAAGGCACGATGCCATGCACCCCTAGTTTAGTTATAGTAATGGTTTACTTATATTATTATTATCTTATTGATACCAAATTATTTTTTTCCGGAACCTGAAATCAACATTTTTTATTCAATTTAAAAAAATATATATCAATGAATTTCAAGAGAGCATTCGCCCAATTTTGTCGTTTGTTTTTAATATAAGTAAGCGTTCTGTAAAATCCTTTTCATTTCAATGCACACAGTTCAAGGCTAAATCGACGGTGCCAAAACGAAATCAATACACATGTAAATAGCGCCGCGTAAAATTGTGCGTATAGTAGGTATATATGCTCATCGTTGTAAACACATCATTTTTAAAAATGATTAATATAAATTAAAATTTATGTAATCTTTAATAAATATTATTCTTTTGTCAGTATAGTACAAGCTTAATTGAAACATCTTATCATTGTTTTCATTTTTTTTTCAGAATATATACATATCTATTATAATACTATACTATTGTTCATTTTGGCAAATGTGAATTATTATTGACAGGATTATTTTTTCCTAAAATCAATTTTTTTTCATACTCATTGTCGGTCAAAGAACTAAAGCCAACGATATAAGATAAATTCTTTCTATGAGAACGAAATATCAGTTTGCAATAGTTAGATCATGCGCAGAAAAATATTTGCTGTTCCTTCTGCACTTGGGTGGATTGTCAGGTGGAAGCAGCGTTGGCGAATGTCAAGTTGCGTTAAAACGCAGTTGCTGCTTAATCTGTGCATGCGCAATTCACTCCTTGTTTATTCGTTGTCTTGTATTAATGAGTACAATTTATTATTTATTTAGCAATCTACACGAATTTTGTAGAAACATTTCAGAAATTAATAAATTTTAACTATTTTCCTTAACTTAAAAACGATTAAATTTTTTTATTCAATTTTATTATGCAATCTGAAAAATTATTATATTTAGCAGAGAATGCTGTGACAAGTATATGGTTAAATAGTTGTTTACAAATTAGTAGACCTTATTAGGTATCAGACCTCCAGTGGCAAAATGTACAAATTGTTGTTGTAAACACTTTTTACATATGGTTTATATATAAAATTTATATTATAAATATTAAAATTTTAGGATTGAATATTAGGTTTGAGATGTTACCATGATTATTGTCGGTGGAAGATGGCGATTCATATGTTTTTTATATTATTTTGAATATAAAACATTTTTTTGAGGAAAATGTTTCTTTATTGCAACATCATTTCTTTATGCTAAAATTTATAAAGATTTCATTTGAATGAATAATAATTTGCTGCATATTAATTATCCAATCTTAGATCAATTTATGCAAGAACTGTATAACATTGTAATATTATCATTATTTTTGATAATTTTTGTGAAGTTTCTGTTAATTATCACCTAATTCGTTCCATTTAATATTCATATCAACGCATTGCTAACGATCATAAGATGACTAACTTTTGTTTAATTTAATTACCAAATTAATTTAAATATATTTTTTAACTAGAGCATTTAACCTTTGAGCTTTCTTAATCATTGTAGTTTTTTTAATACATCATTTGAAATTTAGATTTAAAATTTATTTTTCCGGTACTAATGTACAGCTTAATCGTATGTAATTAACAATTATCTTTAAACTGACATTAATAAGAAATATAATGATTAGAATTTCACTTTTAATTAATATGATCCGAAAAACGCGTAGGAAGGTTAAATAACAGAGCAAGCACCTAACTAGGAAAACAGTAATAGTAATGCCCCGCTTTTAACGCGGGGGTTATGTTCCATCAAAGCAGGGCGTAAAGTAAAACAGCGTTAGATGGGGATATGCGAATAACGGGTTTTGAGAAAAAATCGACAGCAAATTGGCTACGTATCACAATTTAATAAATGTGAAACAAAATCAAATATTTGTTTTATACAAGAATAAAAATAATATAAACGAATATACATACTAAAATATTTCAATGAAATTCTAATTCAGCCCCCATCGTTCTATCGAAATTGTGTGTTTCTTTTCTAATGTGTCTTCTGCGTTCTTTTAAAAGTTGTTAAGCGTACATTTTCAACAAATTGGTTTATAATTTCAGTCATTTTGATCTATTTATAAACACCTGTAAATATTCTACTATTATTGAATATTAATATATTTTTGATCTTTTGGAATAGTCCAGTTATTTAAGTTTAAATTAGGTAAGAATCTCGGAATTCGAGATACCCAGCTGTAAGTCTGTAAATACTGTGTATTGTTACCCCAAAAGTTGTCTCAAAACCTCCATATGGTACTCCGAGGTGAACTTACATATTATTGTTTTCTTCTTCTCAGTAAATAGCTATAGATCATGATTAGAAAGACTACTCTTCCTTGAACTATATCATTGGCATCTTCTACATTTACCTGATCTAAACCGGTTTGTTTCGCAAATTCCACTCTTTCTACCACGATTTCATCCATATTTCGAAAAATACCAGGGTTGAAATAAAAGATCCCCGATAAACCGGAAAAGCGTGTAATAAATCAGCATTGAGTATGTTACAACTGTGTTTTTCAAATATTAACGAATCATCAATTATTGTCCCACGCACTAATGAATGAATTACCTAACAAATATTTTTGTTTTACTAATATTTAATAATGAGAACGAAAAATATTATATTTGAAGACATATATTAAATTGTCAAATATCTCCCGTCCGCTTTTTTGCTCTTGGTTTATAATACAAAAAGGCGGATATTTGACAAGCTTATATAATATTTTGATAAAATCATAACGGTAAAACACGTAGTTGTTATTTTCAGACATATATAATATTTTGATAAAATCATAATGGTAAAACACGTAGTTGATATTTTTAAACTTATCTTTGTGCATGTGCCTTGTCTAGGAGGGATAATATGTAATAATTTTGAGATTTTTTCTCCGTTTAGTTGCTAAAATATGTGAATAGGAGCACTTCAATCATATAGATGATAAAATAAATTAATAATGCACAATTCATTTTTTCTAACTGATATAATTAAATTTCTAGGTTACATGATGAGATTGAGCATTTCTATCAGCATATGTCACCATCGCCCACAGAGCATGCGCTGCGTTTACAAGTGGTTTCGCGAATCGAGAGCGTCGTCCTGGATTTATGGCCATGTGCTCAAGTCGAAGTTTTCGGCTCCTTCCGAACTGGTTTATATCTTCCTACAAGTGACATCGATCTTGTAGTCTTAGGTAAATTAAATTCTTTCAAAAAACATAGCAAATATATAATTGCATTTTGTTTGTCACCAACGAAAGAAACCTCAGGCTTACTCATAAATAAAGGTATACTCTTCTGGGTGATGGAGTTGATAGTCAAAACGAAAACACCTTAAAATATCATAGGCCGATGTGAAGTGATTTAATTATAAAAATTAAAATTTTGAAAAAAGGCCGAGCGCAATATGTACGCCTACAGTGTTCCACATTAATATATCTCATAATATGAAATTCATTAGTAATTTTATATATGTATTCTTATCACATTTCTGGCGTATTTGCTGCACGATCAGAATTATTACTTTATTGCTTTTTAATATACTCCCAAAATTGATCAGAATTGATATTTTAAAGTCATTTTTTCAATCCTATGTTTTTTTGTTGATTATTTTAGGACAGGTGTGAAAATTACTATTTTGTAATAAATATATGACCGCAAACCATGCATATTGTAATTTGTTAAAAACGTTATTTTTTATTTCTGAGTCACTAATAGTATGTCTAATGTATCCTGCAGTTATAAAACCTTTAAGCTATTCTATAATATTACTAATATACAATAATAAATACACAATAAATATTGGTTTAATTAATGAGTTTTTGCAGATCTAAATCCTTTAAGCTATTCTATAATATTACTAATATAGTTAAATACACAATAAATATTCGTTTAATTAATGAGTTTCGATTTGTCTAATATTTTATTTATACATAACAGAACTTTTATTTAAAAATTCTATTATATATTTTTGCTTAATATTATTTCCTAAATCTAATTTTTTTTTTTTTAAACGAATCTTAGGCCGATGGGAAAGATTACCATTGCACACACTTGAGTCTGAATTAGTTGTTAGAGGCATTGCTGAGCAGAACACTGTAAAAGTTTTAGATAAAGCTTCGGTACCAATTGTTAAACTCACAGACAGAGAGACACAGGTAACTTTTCATTTTTTTGTAAATTACTTTATTTGCAGAACTTCAATAAAATAAAAATCTTTTCAGGTGAAAGTTGACATATCATTTAACATGTCTAGTGGTGTACAGTCAGCAGAATTGATAAAAGAATATAAGCGCAAATATCCCGTTTTATCAAAATTAGTGCTTGTATTAAAACAATTTCTACTTCAGAGGGATTTAAATGAAGTCTTCACTGGAGGAATATCATCATACAGTCTGATTTTAATGTGCATTAGTTTTTTACAGTTACATCCAAGAAGAGATTTATTCAATAATGAATCTAATTTAGCTGTACTTCTCATAGAGTTTTTTGAATTATATGGACGTAAATTTAATTATGTAAAAACAGGTAAATATTTATAAACAAAAGATTATTTTAGTATTGAATTTTCAGTTATTATGATTGACTGCATTTTTTACTTTCCTGCACATTATTCCACTGACTGTTTTCAAATTCATCCAATCAGCAACCATTGTGTTCTTTCTATAATGTGATGTTATATTTCAGTTTCTTTCTTTATATATTTTTCAAGTTGCTTAGATGAAGATACTTTATATATTTATGACTATATTTCTATATAACAGCTATAAGGTATTATTTGTTGTCCATTAGGAATCAGTATTAAAAATGGTGGCAGTTATATAAGAAAAGAAGATATGCAAAAGGATATGGTAGATGGGCACAGACCTTCATTATTATCTATAGAAGATCCTTTGACTCCAGGAAATGACATTGGAAGATCAAGTTATGGAGCATTGCAAGTTAAACAGGCATTTGATTATGCTTATATTATATTAACGCAAGCCGTTTCACCATTAAATGATATTTTTAATGATTGTAATAAACATTCAATATTAGGCCGAATAATATTGGTTACAGATCAGGTATGTACACTAATAATATTCACTTGTTAAAAATGTCATAAACAGTTTCTTCAATTTTAGATAAAATAATTTTCAAATTATGTTATCATTTTTAATATGAACCATTCTTATAATTAATATTTTGCCATTTCTTTGCATGTGACATATTGTGTAATATTCATTCAGTCAAATTTCGGAAATTATGAAATAAATATATAAATATTATTTACACCAACTTCAAAACTAATATAATTTGCTGTAATATCACAACACTATATTTTTATAATCAGGTGAAAGAATATCGAGATTGGGTTGCAGATATGTTTGAAGGAAAATATGCAATTCGTAACAATGCATTACGTGCAGCTAGTGAGAGAGGAGGTGGCAGTACTTGTAGCCTAGACAGTAGTGGTGATTCGCCAATGGACAGTGAAGCAGTGAGTAATATTAATCTTACATAAATATTTTAATGATGTCGTATTTTTATTTGCTGAAAATGATTTTTAGGAGTCGAATCCTGCAAGTCGTGATAACTCTCCAAATAACAACAGATCAGGTTGTTCGAGTGGACCTGATCATCAAATGCCATTAGGAACAGGCAACACTTGGGTTAATCATACAACAAGCAGAATTAGGCGTTCTTTTCCTAATGTGCCACCTAAGAAAAACAAAGATAACATTAATTGTAGAAATAGTAGAAACAGAGATTATAACAATATTGATGAGAGGAAACAACATTTAGAAAGAGACAATGACTTCTGCTATAACAACAGATATAATCATCAAAGCAATATGAAAAAGCAGCAAAAACTCAAGAAAAGAATGGCAAATACTTCTCTTACCAATTTTGACAGTAAAGGTCCTAAAGCTAGCCAAAGAAATTCACAAGACTTCTCGCGATGATGAAATTAGATTCTTTATTATGGTAAAAGTAGGGTGAGTCATTGGATAAAATTTCCTGATTAGTTATAAGTGTTATTAAGTCTCTACAATGAGATTGAATTCTAATATAGGTATTAATATTAGTTTAATTTATTATAAGTATATTGACAATGTCCATTGCATTATTCTGCCAATGAAATGGAATATGCAAACTTACTTAATTTTGTACATAAGTACATTCTTTATTACGAAGATGTTATTATATGATTGTGATAATTATTTTATATAATGTGAAATATATCAGTAGACAAATGTATTTAATACGTTTGTTTACTAAAAATACACATTATATATTTTTGTTTAATATAAATATGCAATTATTATAGTGTGTCTTACGAGTAACTTGAGTTATACATACTTACTTTTTAAACTTAAACTAATTCTGAATTTTATACTGTTTATTTCTATTTACTCATAATAATTGTTGTTAATTTAAAATATTGATGAATTCAATGTTATTTTATATAATTCCAATAGTTTTTTTTGTAATTCCTCATATTTACTTTTTGTTGTTGAATATCCAATATTATTTTTGAATATACAAATAGTTTGATGTGAACTTCAATGTATTTTTCAATGTATATTTAAATTTGTTATAATTGGAGTTTGTTTTTACAGCTTGAAGATGGCTGATGTAATTTTTTCCTTGAGAGGAGCATTGTAGTTATAAATAAGTAGTTTTAATAATAATACTCTTCACAATTTATTATAAAGTATATGTATAAGCTCGAATATCGTTAACTGTTCTTTTTTGGAGAATTTTATTTAGTTTGGAAACAAAGTTATCATCTCTAGTTATTTAAAATATATAATAAAGTATATTAGGAATTGTGTAAATATATTTATATTTGTTATATGTAGTGAGTAAGAAAAAAAATCGTAAAAAATTTATAAAAAATGTTTAAAGACATGACAAGTCATTTTTCAAGTACAAAAAGTTATTTATTGTAAAAATAAAATTATGTAAATATTTGTAAATAATGTTTATGGCAATACAATTTGCCTATCAATTTGTTGTTTTATTTAATTGAATCAAGAACGAATAAGGATTTTGTTGTTGATAATTGTTTTCCTTACGTTTTTCTGCAATGAATGAAAATTAAATACATAATCTTTAATAGAGTAGTTTCCGAATACGATAAAGAAAATTTGTTTTAGTAAAACAATGAATTTATGGCATAAACTATAGAGTTGTGCAATGGTAGTAAAGCAAAATAATATACCCTATTCAGCATATTTCAAAATATAAAGAGCATATTGATAAAAGCAATCACATATTAATGTAAATTTAAACTGATGCAAAAGACTATTCTTATGGCAAACGAATGTTTTCTTGAAATATTTTTAGCACATATTTCCAATTGAATCGATTCGCTGACGTGATAGGGAGTACAATCTCTATAGTACCAACTTTGCTTTTGAAATCAGTTAGAAAAGGATGTTAAAAAAGGGCTGTGCTATTTCAGATTTATGAAACTCAGGGGATGCGGTGATTCTATAAGAATGAAGTTAAATAATGCGTTTGCCATGAGGGATAAATTATTAAGTAAATATTCATGATTGATAAGAAACACATATTCAAATTCTGAATATTTATAAGTTAGTAAGAATTTGCAGCTTGAGGAATAAATGCATTTATATGCAATACATGTACATTCGTATTATGCATTATGGAGTCAAATACTTAAATATAAGTGTTATATACACATAATATATATGCTGATTCATACTTAATAAATATGTTTAGTTTCGAAAATTGGAATTTTGGAATTTCATACGCAATTTTCTCACGAAGTTTGTGTTAAATTCATGTTCTAAGTATATTATTCAGGGTATTTTACTATAGTTTTCAAACGAAGTCTTAGATGTTGTATTTGAATTAATTTAAAGAAAACTCAAAGAAATATGATTATATCAAGATTCATACAAGTAAAATAATAATCAAGATCGTATTGAATTATCAATTTTTTATGACTAAGCCCGTTCAAGGCTACATGTGTGTGCAAAAGTAAGATATTGTCTGATACGCCATATATTGCTTTGTGTGTGTGATAAAAGTAAACAGCTCGCTGACAAAAATACAGCAATCAGCTGTGAAATGTCAGTCGTATGATTCAAAATGGCCGCTTGTAAACCATCGTACGTAGTTTGAACAAAGAGTTGCGCAAAATACTTTATTAAACAAACGGCATTTGATTTTGAGTGATTAAGAGTTTCATTGTTTATTTAAACTAATAAGACATGTTGGATTTAGAATTGGTACCTGAACGGTCCTTGGGATGCGAGCAATGGGAATTTGTTTTGGGTAAGTTTATTATGAACGCTTTCTGTTCAATACCTTGTTAATAAACTATCATCATCAATTAGACTTAGGAACAGAATAAGTTCATGCGATTTTTTCATTTTCATCTAATGTTAAAAAAAGTTCATGTATGTAACATTTGTATCATATCACTATAATTAGCTGATTGTAAACAAGTTGTTATCAAATATGTGAACTGTCACCCAAACGTCACATTTCAAGGTTTTTTGTGTTGATGTTGGTTACGTATTAGTGCCAGTAAAAGTGATATACATATAAAAATTCAGATTTTTATTATTATCATGATTGCATATTTATTTGCATAATGACTTTAATTTTTTTTGTGTTCTAAAAAAATATTTTTTCCGTTTGCGACTGAACTTGTGAACTTGAAAATCACTCTATTTTAATAAATTATATCAAAACATATACACATACACCATGGTATACAAACTATGCATGGTATAATATGCATATGTACATTCACAAGACTGTATATATATGTATATATATATATATATACATATATTTATATATATATATATATATACCAAAATTATAAATTTAACTAAAAATGTCTTAAGGTTCAAAAAAGTTAATCCATAATTTAATTTTTTATTAATTTTAATATTTTAAAGTTCTGGAACCATATTCCTGAAACATAGAAATAATTACAAATGGAAATTCAATACTAAAATATTATCTTTTAAAAAAGAAAACTTTTTGTTCAGATAACTAAAATCATATTAAATACATATACTAAAATCGTATAAAATATATGAACATCTTAAGAGAGAAAGAGTAATTATGCGAGATACAAGAATAAAATATGCAGTGAAATCAAATGTATTATTTAAAACTCACTTCTTCCTTCATTTTGGCATTATTTTTCCTTTTTTTGCATAATTTAATTCTTTCGGAAATTTATTTATAGGTATGCATTTTTTCCCAAGCCGTTGCTATCATTCAATCACAAGTTGGACTTATCCGAGGAGTGCAAGTTTTATACAGTGATACGGTGAATATCTAATATTTCTTATGTTAAACAGAATTATATTGTTTAATTATTGTTTTATCATTTATAGAGTCCACTAGCTGTTGATTTGGCCATAAATTTACCACATGATGGAATACGCTTGGTATTCGACCCGGTTGTGCAAAGATTAAAATTAATTGAAATATATAATTTGAAATTAGTGAAGCTTAGATATTGGTATGTATTTCTTAAGTATGATTTGTTTTATTAATATATATGTTTGATGTATTTTTGATTATATCTACAGTCAATTTGTAATCGATGTTTAGAATAAAGTAATTTTGAATCTAATTAAGATGATTCTTGAAATTCTATAATTTATTGTTGTAAGTTTTATTTTCAAATACTTGATATTGATCTATTGGATTGTGCATATCTTGATCATGTGAATAATTCTAGTTTAATTTTCAGTGGTCTTCCATTTAACTCTCCAACTGTTTTGCCATCCATCGAGCAAGTTGAACATTCTTTTGGAGCTACCCATCCAGGAGTTTATGATGCAAATAAGCAGTTATTTTGTTTGCATTTTCGTGGTCTCAGTTTCTATTTTCCAGTAGATAGCAAACTGCAGGTAAAGTTTATCTAATGAAACTCTATTGTATTTATTTTCTATGTTTATAACATAGTATACAATAGTATACTATTATGAACTGGTTGATTTATTTTATTAATTAATATACTACAAAATGAGCAAAAAATAAATTTGAATTTTTTAATAAAAAAATATTCAAGAAACCAATTTTTTACACATAAGCACATATATTTTTTCTTTTATTAGGAATTAGAAGTTAAAGTTAAGAATACTTAATGGTGTAATTCTATAATTCTTACATTATATGATTTTTATTTTGTCTTAATAATAAAAACGCCAATTTTACTTGATAATAATTATATCAGATTGTCTATCACACTGAATGTACTAATAATTTATAGCCGGGCTATGCACATGGTTTGGGATCCTTACATTTTCCAAATGGTGCATCACCAGTGGTATCTCGATGTTCGTTATACTGTGGCCCTAGTGCTCCAGAAGCCAGACCCCCAACCTGCCCATCACTTGTTACAACCAGCAATTATATCTTGAAAGGGCCGAAGTTTTTCGTAGTCATGGACAAACTAGAGGCCTAAGAATGCATTTATATATGGAAGGTAAAGTATTTTTTTAATCAAATCAGTTTTAGTATTTCAAACAAATTGATTTTTCATTTTAATTTAATTTTGGGTTTTATATATATGTTTACTTGCAAATTTGTTTAACGTTAATGGAAAGTGAATCATAAAAATTTGAATAATTATATCAGAAGTACTTAATATTATTTCTTACATTATTTATATTTTTTGGTTGGGAGCACAATACAAATGTTGCTGTATTTTATTAAAGAAACTCAAGTTGAGTAAAAGGCAAACAAACAAATATTTAAACAAAATATAAAAGATTTACTTGAAAAGTTGTAATTGCTTGTTCAAGTTGGAAGTTTTTAATGAAACAAAACTTGGAATTATAAAATAGAATAACAATGAAAGGGAAACAATTATCAAATTTAACTTTCTTCAGATTCTCCAAGGATACTCGAACCACGAAGAAAAAGATAACAAGAGAATTATTATTTGGAGACAGTTGTCAAGATGTTGCAAGCAGTCTTGGTGCACCCAGCAGGTATATATTAAAGATAGCATTACAGATTACAAAAATAGCATCAAATATGACATAGTATTTATTATTTTTTTTTAGTTTTTTATAATCTGAAGATAAAATGAGAATCCACAGTCCTAATGCTCATCGCAAATCTGCTAGACGCAGTGATTTTTTCTTTAATTACTTTACTTTGGGCTTGGTG